GTGTGAAGAAGCCATGCGTTTGGGTCGATTGACCGTATTGAGAAGCACAGCGCTGAGAGACTCTTAGTCCTGATGTCTGCTGGGTCAACCAGCTGGCACACTCTTGTGCATAGCAGCTCGCAAGCGACGTCGCGTCGCCCCTCTGTCGGTCAGACGGCAGAACAGAAGAGCCGCATCCGAGTCCCTAGCCGCCCCAGCCTGTCTTTTGTCATTTCCTAACGCCATTTCCGCCGGACTCGCAGTGCAGCTCGCCGCTGTCTCCTGTTCCAGCTGGCTCTTGCCGGGTGCGCACTTTTCCACGTCTGGTGACGAGGCCGCCTCGTGCTGCCCGCCCGCGAAGAGTTCCCTCCCACTCAGCTTTCAGCTCCGAGGCGCCCTCGTCATGTCACTACATGCTCCGCTGCTGCGGACCGGGCGATTGCCTGCGGTTATGGAGCCCTCAGATCCGAGCTACGCTGGAAAGGACCTTGGAAGCTCCCGGAGAGGCCTCCCCCACGAAGGTTCCGGCCGCAGGGAAACTGACAGCCTTTGGCCTGCGGCTCCGAGGGTTCCGATATCTGAAATCCGTTTGGAGATCTGAGTATGTTGCGTTCGACTGCCTTTAACACTTCCATGGTGCTGCTGCAATCCCTATGGTACTGTACCAGCTGGTTGTCGCGAAAGCACAATCACTGCGGTGGCAGAGGCCACGTAATCAATTCTTGGCACCAGGATGCCGTGGTCCAACATTGGGCCGGCAAATTGGAGGCACCTCTCTATGGTTGTGCCAGCAATAAGCAGGAAACGCTATTGTCTGTGAGATTGTCTTCAGGGCTGCACGCCAATTCTTCAGCAGCTTCCCACTGATCAACTTGGACCTTCTGAGCAACACCGCGAGGAGAGCAGTCATTTTTCTTTGGAATTATCCGATTGGCATCCCTCGAACGAAGCGTCCGTTGGCTCAGGCAACGACCGTATCGCTCACCTCTTCCACAAAAGGCCGTGAAGCAGTGAGGGATCCGTCTTCACCGCCGTTGCCCTGAGCAGGTCTGATCTCGCCCGTGCGGGGCTCAGATCAACGCAGGCTCCCCATGCAGGGCCTCCCGACGCGATGACATTGCAGGTCCTAAGCGAGGCAATGGCGCACCTTGTGGGCGGCCTTGCAGCGTTGCTGGGGCGGTACAGCATGGTGCGCACCAGCCATGCTTCGTCGCGACGATCAGACAACATTTTGAAAGTGCAGGCCTCCGAGACAGTAGTCGGCCTTTGGCGCAGCGATCTGGGCGAGACTGGCTGTCAGCCGTTGCGAGTCAGTCTGTTGAGGCGCGGCCTTAGCCGGGCGGACCATTGCTTGAGCATCCGTGCGTGCTTTGCGGCTCTGTGACTGTGAGTCACTGTCAGGCAGCCACAGGACACAACGCCAGTGTGGCCAGCCGGCCCGGTTACCGAGGAGGAATCTGATAACTCGGTCAATGATTGCACGCAGCCCTTCCTCGCTGGACTCCCACTGTACTTTGCGAGTTCCAAAAATATCACGAGACTTGCGGCTGAAGGAGAACTCCGTGATTACGCCTTTATCTTCTTTTGCTTCAGCACGCTGCCTCTTCGAGCGCATCGGCACGGAGGCTGCGCTTTGCAACCATCTGTCTTGGCTCTGTCGTGTCAGAGCCGTGTCAGGCTGCGCTGTTCAAGGCATCTTCCAGGGCTCCAGCAGCTCCAGCATGAAATGGTGTTGTCTTGGATTCGATGCAGGATCCCAACTTGCTCTTGCAAGCGGATGGCCTGCTAAAGCTGGACAGACTGACAAACTCCGAGGAGGGTTGCGTGAAGTGTGAAGCAGTTTGTGTCACGGGCCTCGGGAAGCTGTCGTAGGCACCAAACGGCAGTCTTCGACTGTGCCGGTCAATGGATGCGGCAGGCTCAGAAGCTTGACCGATCCTTCACGCGACTCCGGGATGCGCTTGCACAAGACCTGGTGATCCATCCTGATGACCCGTAACTACTGCCGGCGAATGAGAACGCATGTCGCACGGCCCCGAAATTCAACACAACCGAAGATCTCCCGAAACCTTTTGGCTTTGGGCATGAATCCAGCAAAGAGTGCAGCTTCAAAGGCTTTCGTTGTCCTCGGCACAGAAGCGATGCCTGCAACATCCGGTTCAAAGGCACCAAGCGTTCCAAGCACTTCACTAGGCCCAGAGTGTGATCAGCAGGACGGCTGTCAGGGCTGCTTCTGCCAGGCTGCGCTGATGCTGGTGTGCACTCGGTGGCCACCGGCTCCGAATTCAAACTCGAAGCTGGAGCGGTGCTGTCGGTAGGGCCTTGCGGTATGCAGCCCTTCGCTGGCACGTTGATCGAAGGAGCTTCGTTGCCCACGTGGTCTGTTCTCTCCGGATACCGTCGGCAGGACTCGCACGCATGCACCACACACATGCGTTCATGCACATCGAAGCAGGATGGTTCCCGATTTGATGGGTAGGTACCAGTATTGCTCTGGGTCTCAGCTGGTCAGGATGATTCGACACCTTACGGCACTCCTGGATGCCATGGTGAGGCCACAAGACGATGCTCCGAAGAGTGTGATGGCATGAGGCATCTGTGTCCGTGTGGGCAACTGTGACATCGCGCGACGGCAGGTCGCCAACAATTGCCATTTGCCAGCTGCCACTGCATGAGCCCACATCGCCGGACGAAGCAGAAGTGTCGAGCTGGGCCGATGCATATAGCTGCTTCGCTGCATGCAATTTCTGTTAATTTCCCCTTCGCATGTACAGGGTAGCGCCCCAACAGCATGTATGCAGGCCCCTAGGTCATGGAAGGTGCACCGTCTCCAAACAGCAGCACACATGTCCTCTGGCAGAAACCATCCTGACAATCCTGCAGGGCAGAGGGATGCACCCAGTTGGAAGCTCTGCGGGTAGCCTTGGAAAGGCAGACCTTTGCTTCCAGAAAAGTTACAGTCGGAGTTGTTCCGGCATGTTCCGATTGTGTTCGGTACTTGGGGCATGACTGTCGGACTCCTAGGCAATCCTGTGCAACACCAATTACCAGCCTGTCATCTGATCCCAAGTCCAGCGATGCAGTATGTCCATTGAACAGTGCTGCTTTTTCATGGCATGTTGCAACCAGACAGACTCTGTTGCGCAGTGCAGAAAGCGTGGCTACCTAAGGCTCTTCGTGCTACTGCCCACAATCTGCGAGTCCTTTTTCTGCCGACCGCTCCATGACATCCATGTTGCTTGGCTTGAGATTGGTCCTCATCTTAGAGCATTGAGAGTGTTCTCGAGGCTTGCGGCTACTGCAGCAGCGTCGCCTGATGCCCTCGCAATGGTCGACGACGGCACCGGGGCCACCTACACCTATGAGGACTTCGGGGAATCTGGAAGACTAGAACTCACCGATGGCAAGAGTCCAGCCTGTCGATGCGTGAAGTTGGTAGACCAAGCCGCCCCTTTTTCCTTTCAAGGAAGTCTTGAAGATGTCCAGTGCCTCGTTCAGAAACGGAAGTTGCTGTTAGTCTGGCTGCTCGGGCGTGTCTTACATCGTGCTTAATTCTCTCGAGATTGCACATGTCACAAGTACTTCTCTGCATAGGCGTTCTTCTCTCTGTGCGTGTGTCAGAAACCAGACATATGCAGTGGTCGTCCTGAGGTTCCATCGCCCATGGCCTTGCACGCACTGGGGAGTCTCCACTGCACATGATGAGCCCAGAACAGAACCGCTCCAGTCCACCTTTGAGATGGAGACAGCCGTCTGAGACCCTTAGCCAAGGTTCCCGTGGATAGTCTGGTCCCCTTAATGGCTTCAAGAAGTGTCGAGATGATCTTGGGAATTCTCGGCATCATTCGGACTGGAAGTGGTTCAGCCCCGAGAAATTGGTGAGTTGTCGCGTACGTGTGAATTCCCTGTAAGGCGGAGTCGGAATGAAGATTCATGAGTGCCCACAACTTTGCTGCGAGGCTATGTTCCTTTGGATCTGCACTGGCCGGACGATCGTCTTCAAGACGTATTGCGCCAATGCAGATCGAAGGCGACCAGAGTCGGCTGACGACATGACCGAACAATGCCGAATATTGTTTGTGTCGGCCAGGTGGTTCTCGCATCTTCTGATTGCCACAAGAAGCTTTCGCAAATAGCCCTCGAGGCAATCGTTTTGTCACTGATTGCTCGGGTTGGTTGGACGGTAAAGCAGCCGCATCTGGAGCGGCAGGTGGAGGTTTCGCATGTTCTGGACATTTCGATGAATGCAGCCAGTGGCGGTTACTTGGAAGACCGTGGCTCCGGCAGCTCACTCGTCTACGCGTTCTTCACCTCCGGCACCACTGGGAAGCCCAAAGGCGTGATGGTGAGCTTCTCAGTCTCAGTATGGCCTGCGCGGACTCTGGAAGCATTCGCGTCCTTCGTGCCAGATCCGTGTCACCAGGTCGAAAACAAAGGACTCGTACAGGGCCCAGAATCCTGCATCCAAGTAGAGTTTGCTGCCCTGCATGTCTTATTCTTGCCATCTTGTCCGACATGATGCTTGCAGCAATGGGGTGCTGCAGACCTTTCCATTTTCGCGAGCTAGGTTCATCGGATTCATTGGTTTCAGCAGAAGTGGCCCCTCCGGCAAGGAGAAGGTGTTGTCTCCAAGGCGTGCCAGTTTATCGATGCAGCACCGCTAGCCATTCGATGACGGTGCTATACCACGTCAAGCTGCCACCTGCATCTGACACGGAGGTGGCGTATACCTTCGGCTTGTCTGAGTGGGAAATCTTCTGGCCCCTTGTGGCTGGAGCTACACTCGTCATCGCTCCACCAGGCACATGCCAGGTTCAGCGCTTCCAAGAGGGAAATTTGGGTTGCTGTGCTTCAGTTCTCAGGTGGCGAGAAAGACGCGGACTATCTTCTTCGCCGTGCATGCAACGCGTTCACTCCCCCGCCCCCAAAGGAGCTACCAAACCCGCCCCAGGGGCATGTTGGCCGTGGGTTCAGAAACTAAGCCGCAGCGCATGTCTTGGAGGAAGATGCTCGGCTGCTTGCTGGAAGGGGACCGTCTCCCGATCTGATCCACTGCGTGGCTGCACATGTGTTCGTTCTGCTCTTGGTCACGGTGGACTGTGCAGTCTTTCGGCTGCAGGCAAGTATTTTGAGCTTTTGCTACAGGTGCCTTCTATGCTTCAGATGGTCCTCGAGAAGTACGATGAGCTGGAGGACTCCCTTGTTTACGTATTGTGTGCTACGTCAGGCAAAAAGCAAGGCAAGGCCAAGGCACTGTGACGACTTGCCTTTCAAGGGTGTCCGGACTGCCACGGGAATACATTCGTGGGCCCGTTTGGCACCTGGCTGTGTCAGGAAGAGGACTTGCAGCGCAAAGCTGAAGAGCATCATTCGGAAGGCCGCTCGAGTTGAAACGGCTCATGTTGAGGATCCTGCGTCTTTGACACCAGGAAACATGCATGCATTCAGAAAGGAGAGACAGAACATAAAAGAAACCACGTTTCACGAAATCACAGCAAGCGCCCGAATAACAAGGGAGATTAATTAGCCATGGGCAGGCCATCCTCAGGCCGGAACACTGACAGAACAGCGGCAGACAAAGAAAAACTAGAACACAGCACAAACGCACATGTTCGTGTGGACCATGACCATGCAAACGTGGAAACGAACACCGCAAGTGACCAACACAATGTGTTTCTTTGCTGTTTCCGATTTCTGTTTGTTTATTGCTTGCTTTATTGTCGTCGTGCTGTTGTTTTCTTCCTTCCCAGTACTCACAGTGCTTCCGCTGCCTTAAACCTAAATCGAAAGTCCGGTGGAGCGATGCTCAGGGTCTTTTATGGCTGGAACTGAGGCACGTGGTGGCATCACTCCAAAGCCCGGGAAGTGATCACGTGTGGAGAAGCATTGAGCCCGGCCCTGGCACAGAGCCGTGACAACGATAACCTTTCGAGAGTGGCCTAGAAGTTGGTCAGGAGTCTTAAGGCTTGAAGCATCCTTGACTCTTTGCTTCGCCACACTACAAAGGAAAATGTTCTCCCGTTTCCACTGCACGCTGACCAACTTGTACGGCCCCACAGATGCTTGGAGTTGTTCGGCTGACAGCTTTGAGTGATTTCAGGCAGTCTGGTGTAGCAAAGCCTGGTTGCGGGTCCATCTCAGCAATATACCAGTGGCGATGTTGCGTTTCTTGTGGCCTCGGTAGTTGCGGAACCAAGTCGGGGTCCCGGTCGAAATATCGCTCCGAGGCGAGAAAGTGCGCCGAAACGTTTGCAGAAGTGGTTTGCTTAAGCACCGCCTCGTCCAAACATGTCCAAACCGCCGAATGCACCACAACGTTTGCAGACCGCCGGCTAAGAGCTGTCCCGAGTGCTACAATAGCTTTCAGGGGTCCAACAGCCGAAGGTCTGAATAGCATTAGTAAACCTGCTGAGATACTCAAAAACATGCCAACCGTTAAGGCATCCGCCAACACGGAAGTCCTCATAAGGGACCGAAACAGCAATCATGCACTAAGAGCCGCTAGGATAGTCCGTAAAGAGGTGTCGGGTATGAAGCATAAAAGCCTGAATCAGATTTCGCGAGAGCCCTGCAAAAGAAAAACGCAAATCTAGTCCTCCACCGCCTTTGCAAAAGCTGTCGCCAAGCATAGTTTACTGCACGTGGCCTCCGCGTATTCGGTGGTTTTCAAACGCATTCGCCCAGTCTTCTTGTGTGGCAGCACGGCAGTGACTTCGAAACATGCCAGCACGTCAAGGCGCGACAGGCTGTGGACGAGTTGCGCGAAAGTTGCGTCCTACAGATTGACGCAGAATGACAACACGGGGTCATATGTCACCATGCATCCGAGGAAGGTGAGATGAGCTATTGGGACGTTCCACAGGGCCGTGCACTGCTGCGCGTCTCCGCCGGTCGCCCTATGGAAGGCTGCAAGGTTCCCTATGCTGTGCTTGTTGAACGTGTTGTCATGGCGTTTCGGCTTTGCTGCGATTAGACTACGGCAATATGTTTTGTTCCTCAAAGCTGCCATGCTATGCAGAGGGCGTTCCTGACTTCAGGGACATTGAAGTTTTTAGGGCTAGGCCGTATCTACAACGCCAAAATCCACCAGATGTTCCCGTCAGACTGGAATGTTTATGTGTGCTCCGATCCAAATTGTTTCCAGACTCGTGTCTCTTTTGAACTTAGGCCTAAATAGCGGTATTTATTTGTTTAAGTTTTCTGTTGTTGTTTATCGTATATATGACTATGTGATACTATGTGTATATATATATATATATACCTATATACTTGTATATATAATCTATAAACGAAGAGTTAGAGTACATACATATTATGTGCATATATAATATTAATGTATAGAAAATATGTGTGTATATATATATATATACATATGTCAATTGTAACCCTAAGACCCTCAAGTTCCCAAGACCCTAAAACCCTAAGACCCTAAAGTTCCCAAGGCTAAGACCTTAAACCCTTAAGCCCGAACCACTGTGGATTCGTTCCTCTGTCGGTCTCGCATGGCGGCGGGATGTATCAGATTCGAAAGTTCTCACAAATGACACTGCCCAACCACTGTCACTCGTCCACACACTCCGAATGACTCAGCAAAATCGGTCCTGATCGTTGTTGGCATACTTCTGCAAGGTGTTCCACAGCCTTGTGCGAATGATGCCAGGGGTCCACGGGTGGATTGTCTCCAGCAAGTCGTCTGTCCGGCAAGCAAACATCCTGCCAAAATGACGTGATACATCGACCCGCAACAGTACCCTATGGTACCTTATTGAATTTGAATTCAACTCGCACAATGCATGTCCTTTTCAGGTCCTGTTCAACATCCTTCTCAGACATATCTGGCACCATACGTTAAACTGCCTGACTGTATCCGCATCCACCATCGTCACATCACCGTCGGTTTGCGAGGCCTCGGCCGCCTTTTGCGCTGCCTCGTCTTCAGCCTCTTTTTTCTTACTTCTGCACAATGAGCTTGGAACTTGACTGCAGCCTCCTCGGTTTTTCGCTGCAGCTTTCTCAGCCGCGGATTGCTTGGGCGGCATGGCTGGCTACTCTCTGATCACTGGACAACTGCCTCGGGCAATCTGCCTGCGAGAGTGTGACTGCAAGCAAGGCCAACCACTTTCACAAATTGAAGCGACACCTGAGGCAGCGACAGTAAGGACGCAAAACCAGACCAAGCCTGGATTCAAACTAATATCGGTCCATGAGGAATCACGCGATTGCACTTCGAAAACAGCACCTGGAAAAGGCCTCTCGCGGATGCCGCCATCCAAAGAAGCCTCGTGGTGCGAAATGGTTGTATTATTGGCGGTAGTAATTTACTCTTAGTTCATATTAAGTCATCAAGTAGAATAGATTCCAGCATTTCCGTCGTATTCATGCTTTTTCATTGAATCTGACAGAATTTTTAAAACTAATGTTAGTACAGTTTTCGGACCACAAGTGTCCAAAATAGGCCTGGGTAGAAACCGCTCGCAAACAAGCCTTAAATTAGAACTTGAATGCCTTTGCACACTTTTCCGGCCGCGAAAAGCGCAGAATCGAATCAATAATGGGAAAGTGAAGCAGACGCTCGCAAACAGGCTGCTAATCAAGAACTTGACTCTGAATGCCTTTTCACACTTAATCGCTACCTATTAGGTTGACATAATGGGAACGTGAAGCGCACGCGCGCCCACAACTTTTGATCTAGAACTTGATTCTGAATGGCTTTTCAACCTTTTTCAACTGCGAAAAGTGCAAACTCGCTACTGATTAAGGTGAATAGTAATGCAAAATTGAATCAATAATGTGAACATGAAGCAGGCACTCGCACACAAGTATTAGTCTAGAACTTGAAAGTGAATGCCTTTTCACACTTTCCAAGCCGCGAAAAATGCAAAATCGCGACCAATTAGGAAGGGAAAGCCAAGCAAAAAACACTTGCAGTTGGGCTGCCAGCAATGTTAAAAGGGAATAGTAAGATTCAGGCAGGTAAAAGACTCGGTTTGAGCTCTTGCGCTTGTTTTTGCATTGTTCCGGGTCTGAAAAGTGCAAAAACAAGCTCAAACAGCCTTAAACACCTGATCATTCTTCCCTAGGCTAAACAACTAGCTCCCCGACCGGTCCTACGGAGTTCGTTTCGGCTGAGCTAGTTGATGCGAGACCCCGAACTAAAGCACAATGTCACCAGACATTGTACTTGAGCTCGGGCTGGCTGGTCGGCCCGAGTTAGTAGGATAGGTGAAATCTCCCTACAAATTGCTTTTTCAATTTACAAGATGAAAACACCTAGCCATGTCAACAGAGCAAGTTCTTTGTCAATTGCGACTCGTTTTGGCACTTTGCCAGGTCCAAAAAGTGCGAAAACGATTGCAGCCGGGAGTTATTAGCAGCCAGGCAAGGTCCACAAACTTGGCAGAATCTGCCTATTGGCTTGAACTGAGACTGCTCAGAATAGATCTTGCTGCTTGAACTTGCCGTAGTGGCCTCGACTTTGCACTTTCCGGCGGTTGAAAAGTGCAAAATCGGACCAGTTAGCATCGGAAAAATCCAAGTGCAGGCCAGGTGCGGAAACATTTTCGGGTTTAGCAAGGAATGAAAGGTTTACAAACGCTCCTGAGATCTGATACTTGCTGCAAACGTTTTCGTGGGCTTGAGCTTTCCAAGCTAGCCTCGATTTTGCACTTTTCGCAGGTTGGCTGTTTAAGTGCTAATTGGTCCGATTTTGCACTTTCCAAAGGCCCAAAAGTGCAAAATCGATGCTACTTTGGAAAGTTCAAGCACACAAGCGCACTTGTAGCAGCAAGATGACTTATTCTTATCTCAGGAGCACTTGTAGACCCGAAATTCATTCATTCATTGCTAAACCCGAAAATGCTTCCCTCACGTGGCCTGCGTGTGCTTTTTCAGGTGCTAACTGGCCCGATTTTGCATTATTGAACCAGGGAAAAAAGTGCAAAATCGATGCTAATTTCGAAATTTGCAGCAACGAGCTGATTGTCAGCAGTTCTCAACAGCGTTGTTAACCCGAAATGACTCAACGGTTGAGTTCGGGTTTAAATCAAAAAGTGTTCCCCATGGTCTTCTCGCTGCGAATTTTCGAAATTAGCCTCGGCTTTGCACTTTCCGGTGATTGAAAAGTGCAAAGTCGGGCCAGTTCAGGCCAGGTGAGGGAAACATTTTCGGGTTTAGCTTAAACCCGATGTGGCCTGTGCTTGGCTTTTCAGATGCTAACTGGTGCCGATGTCGCACTTTACATGAGGGAAGCATTTTCGGGTTTAGCGATGAATGAATGAATTTCGAGTTTACAAATGCTTCTCAGATCTGCAAAAGTGTGCTTGTGGGCTTGAAGTTTGCAAAGTAGCCTCGATTTTACACTTTTCGCAGGTTGAAAAGTGCGAAGTCGGATCAGTTAGCATGTGACAAGGCAAACACAGACCACCAGAGGAAATCAATTTTCGGGTTTAGCACTTAAATTAAAAAATAATGAATGATGAGTCGGTTGAAACATGCTCAAAACTGTTGCCGGGCTGCAAACTTTCGATGCGAGCATCGATTTTGCACTTTTCGCGGTTTGAAAAGTGCAAAAAGGGACCACCTAGCATCGACATTTTCGGGTTTAACGCAATCAAGTACTTTCGTTAGTGTGTACGACAATAAGATCAGCATCAGTCGTTCGGCCAGCTTGGAATAATTGAGACCCAGGCAAGCATCTGCCTCGATGAGAAGTCTGCCAACTTAGTAAGACCTCACTGGCATCAGCAGCTGCAGCAGAAAATTGAATGGCGATTCAAGCCGAGGGGCGAACCAAAGCCCAGTCAGGCATAGGTCGGCATGATCATGGCTGTCCACGAGCAGTCAGTGCGTTTTTTCTTGCTTTTGAATCCGTCTGCACACGATCGGGCCCCACGAAGCACAACTGCTGCTGTGCTCACCAATCAAATTAGTAATTAGTACAAATCGCATCGATCTGCACTTGAGATATTGAAGCATCGTAAAAGGGTCATGAGGCTGTATCAAGGCAGCAATACAAAATTTGCAATCCCAGGCACCCAGCTAAGACGCTATGTCGCATCC